CTATCTATCTACTATCTATCTATCTATCTATCTATCTATCTATCTATCTATCTATCTATCTATCTATCTATCTATCTATCTATCTATCTATCAATTCAATTTATCTATCTATCTATCTATCTATCTATCTATCTATCTATCTATTTATCTATCTATCTATCTATCTATCTATCTATCTATCTATCTATCTATCTATCTATCTATCTATCTATCTATCTATCTATCTATCTATCTATCTATTTATCTATCTATCTATCTATCTATCTATCTATCTATCTATCTATCTATCTATCTATCTATCTATCTATCTATCTATCTATCTATCCTATCTATCTATCTATCTATCTATCTATCTATTATTTATGTATATATATATATATATATCTGTCTGTCTGTCTATAGTAGATACCTGATGAAGTGATTGGCAAATTCGTTGCAATATCCCAGTCTCGTGTATATCTGTAAGCAATCCCCTTGTTCTGAGAATTTATTCCATCACGAGTCTCCGGCTAGGGCTCGTCTCTACGCGCAGGGAACTTGCGTACCTAGAGAGTATTACTGTGCGTTGTGTGACCGTGGCTCCGACCACCAAGCCATTTACCAGGAAATCCGCTGACAATACCTTCCTATATATGATAATGTGAATGCTCATTATAACAGCATTGATTTCCTGTAGTTCTATGTCAAGTACGAAGGCTGAAAGGGTCCTTGTCGTATCAGGTACTACATATATCTACCCGAGGTACGTATATGTATACCTATATCTGTACCTGTGTATATGTGTACCTGTATCTTCTCAGCATATAATTATGTACCCTGTGTTTATGGTTAGGGTTAGGGTTAGGGTTATGGTTAAGGTTAGGGTTAGGGTTAGGGTTAGGGTTATGGTACACTTCTGTAGTACAAGTCTGGTACACTTTGTGTATACATATATGTACCTCGGGTACATCTATGTAGTACCTGATACGACAACGACCCCTTCAGCAGTACTAAGCCGCATTTGCTCGTCTTCGCTCATGCCCAGCATTACTTATCACATACATATACTTTTTTATATGTGATCATGTGTGCAGTCCCTGTGTAAGGATTGATTGCCCAGTATTTTCTAAGCGAAACTTCACACATGTATTGAAGAATGCGCATAGTCGCGCGTAGGTTGATGTGAAAAATGTATTGTCATTGTAACACAAGACGCATAGTATTCATGAATTTCCTTGTATACGGTAATACACCAGCCTACGCAAGTAAGACGTTTCAGGAAAAAAACGTTCGTAACGCGAAAATCCGTAACGCGAAAATCGCGTTTTATCATCGACTATCTATCTATCTATGTGCATATATAAAATGCGTTCCTACGGAGAATCTAGGAATCATTCGCCGACAAGTTATTGATATTCTTCGTGACTGGTATGTGGTGGCTGATCCCCCCCCCCCCACATCAGGCCATCAGCTCACTCCTGTCACCCACAGGTAGATCTCACGGATGATTGTAATAGCAACAGAACGGGCCAGGCAAGAAAGCTAACACGTGTTGCTGTGGCTATAAAAGCTGAGGTGTCGCGTAGCAGATTCACTTCGCTTGTGTCTGATCATGAGAACCCACGCAGACCTGTGCGCATGCGCAGTGTCGGGATGGCGGTGATGCGACGGGGTCACTGGACTATCTGATGGGTTGCCCACCCGATTTCTCCTTCCTCTTACAACCGTGCTAAGAGCGTGAGCTCGCGCACGCGTGCAAAATATGCATGGACGAGTACGCACACTACTAGTACATGCACCGGTGCTGCCGCACGTACGTGCACGCACGCGTGTATGTGCACGCAATCGCCCTGACGAGTTACTGATTTTCCCCCGATGGGTGGCTAACATAAGCTTTTCTGGCAAGGGGTAGGGATGTACCTCCATGCCCGCTCTGGGTATCAGGTTCTGGCATGGAGGCTACAAAAGCAATCCAAATTATGACGGATCTTCTTTTTTTTATAGCTGCTACAGGAAGCTGTACAAAGAGCAAGGATCCATCGTAAATGGCAACCAGGAAACAACGGCAAACTTCATAAACAGTGCCGAAGTATAGATCAAAGTGCGATAGATGCACGTTGCATGTACCAATGATGGCATCACTGTTATCACACATTGGCAGCAGCTAGCTGCGAATATGCTACACAAATTTTATTCATTCTCTGCGATTCAGCGCGCCATTTTTTGAGGAGACACGCTCGCCCATTCTTTTGACAGATGAGTACTTTGCCGTGATAATAGCCTGGTTCACACGAGACCTCGTATTTATGAAATACGGTATTTGCGAAATACCGAATCTGAGACAAATACGCGGCCGAGCGTTCACACGCTGATTTGTGGCTCCAGAAATACGGTATTTGCGAAATACCGAATCTGAGACAAATACGCGGCCGAGCGTTCACACGCTGATTCGCGGCTCCAGAAATGCCGTATTTGCGACCTGCGAGCTGCTTTAGTACACTGGAAAAAAAATATTGCGTCGTGAAGTAATATAAGCTTTAAGCCGCGTTCACATGCACGTAGCAAGAAATCCGGTGTTTA